CGCCGAATACTACATCGCCCATGGGATCAGCTTACGATCGCCGTGGTGCTGTTCATCGCCGTAAATTGGGTGATGCAATGGCTCGCCGTCTCTACACCCAATTATGGTAACTGTTGCCGAAGCAGAGCAGCACATCACTCACTTTTTTACTAGCCCATATATTGTCGCGGGTATATGTCAGCATGGGTTCTTCATCAGTCGTTTATTTCTCTACAGTAAATTTACTGCTTATTATACCTTGCTGAGTAGATATGGCCGCCTGATAATTACCCGCTGCAAAACCCGATACATCTATTTTGCAAGGTAGTACCGATGAGTTACGGTATACGATCTTTCCCGCCATATCTACTATAACGATATTGGCATGTTTCCACTCACCAATTATGGTTATTTCTTTGCTGGCCAGGTTCGGATAAACCTGCAATTTTGCCGTCTTTAAAGTTTCATTAACGGCAACAGGGGTAATTGGCGCTACCATTTTAGCAAGCCATACATCATTGCCACCGATAGGGCTCAGGTTATTGCTCCCCAATGTAAGCGGCAGGCTATATTCACCTGCCAGATATACATTACCCAGTTTATCGGCTTTCATATAGTTTACAGCAAGACCTTCGTAGTCCTGACCCCATGTTGCGGAACCGGCAGGGTCATACTTTACCAAAAAGTTAGGAAGCGTATTCAGCGTAACACTACCAAAACTGATAGAGGCGCTACTGTAAGAGCCTGCTACATATACGTTGTCAGCAGTATCTACAGATACATGCGCGGGCACTACTGCATCACCTAGTGTTGCGCTGCCTGCTGTCTTTGCCCATACTTCGATACCATTTGCTGCATATTTTACCAACAGCATATTCTCTCCGTTTATACCATTGCTGTGGTTTACGGTATTACCTGCAAACGCGAAATTCGGGCTCAGGAAACTGCCGGTCACATACACATTATCATTATCATCGCTGGCTACAGATGTAGCAACTTCCGAGTTCATACCCCCCACATTTTTAGCCCAGACGAAATTGCCGAATGCATCATATTTCGCCACCAACATATCGCTGCTGCCATTACTGGTTAGGGTGGTACTACCTGCCGCTGCCATACCGGTAAATGTACCTGTTACGAATAGGTCTCCATTCTTGCCAAGACAGATATCTGACGGTATATCGGTACTGCTACCACCAATAGTCTGCGTCCAAAACGTAGTGAAACCACTCAATTTAGCTATAAATATCTCGGAACTGCCGGGATTAGGATTAGTAATGGTGCTAAGCCCCAGAGAAATGCTGGCCTGCGAAAAACTGCCTGCTATATACATAGCGTTTGCATCTGCTTCCACACTTACCATCCGGGCATTCTGTATATCATCATTTGACATTGCAGACCCTGTAGAGCCTGATATTTTTAGGTAGAAAGCAAAATTGCCCGCACTGGCATGGTTGAACACAGCGGCATCGTACGTCATCCCAAATCCCTCATAGTTACCAACCACATACACATTGTTGCCGTTTGGCGATACGGCAATACCGCTTACAGCCACACGATTAGTCCTTACTCCACCACCATTTTTTGCCCACAACAGATTGCCCGCCGAATCGTATTTAGCTACATACATATTACCTGTAAGGCTGTTGCCGGTATTTGTAAGGCTGGCTGTTGGGCTGAGTACAAGTGTCGGGCCATAAAATTCGCCTGCTATATATACATTACCTGAGGCATCAGTAGTCATAGCCGATATCCTGTCGAGTCCGGTACCACCGATTGGTTTTGCCCAGCCCCAGCTGACGTTTGCCGCTCCTATTTTGTTAGAAAATAGTTGCAAGCATACACATAAGCAAAGTAATGCACTCTTCATAAGTTTAATTTTAAAAATTTGGCTTGTAAAATTACCGTAATTAGCAATAATTTTGGTAGTAACCAGTCCCTATTTTTTCAAAGTGGCATACACAATCAATCCTGATTAAATTATACTGTTTTACTTATCAGTATATATACACCATATTTTTTTAATGATGCTCGCCTTTCTGGGATTTTCGATAAAATGCAAATTCCTGAAGTGGACGACTACTTGTATTCAATGATTTTTGTACTTTTTTTTGCTTAAAGTTCTTTTTAAAACTGTTCAAACATACTCAAACATTAAGGGTACTAAAAAGGGTGCCATTTGTTACATATGTTTCTCCTAGATATTCTAAGTGCACATTTTGATCGCATTTAACGGGCCCGTCCGGTCCGCAACGATCTTTTAAGATTTAGCAAAAAGCAGCTCATTAGAGCTGCTTTTTGCGTTTTACCCCATATTCCAGGGGATTTCAAAGTAAAACACAAC